AAACATTTCTGACTTGGTAATTCGTCAAGTGTTACTTCGATAAATTGTTCGATTGGAAATAAAAAGTGATACGATCGTGCCAAATGCGGTGCAGATACAAGTGTTAGATGACATATACTACATTCCGTTGGTAATTCACAATATTTACTCTCGCATGTTGGACAAAAATAGCCACCAATAGAGAAACCATTTATTCCACCACGTTGTTCCAAATGGCACATACACATGGATGCTTTTTCGTGTTTTGCACTGTTCGATGACGTTGTTGATATATTTGCATTCGATGTTGTATATGTTCGATATTTAGGAAAACCCATGCGTACAAGTGATGATTCGAATTTATCTAGAGCTGGCAGTGGTCGAGAATGAATTTGTAATAGTTCTTGAAAATGACTTGAATCCATTATGACATGAAATATGCCTAAACAAAAAGAGATTTAACTGCTGTTGAAGTTGAATTGATAGTTACCTTTAGTATCAACGCACAATTTCCGAAAAATTCGAACTTCAGCCGAGAGACTAATCACTGAGCAACGTATTTCGTTCTCTTTACAAATCTAAATCAAACAATAAAATAAAGAATTATAAAGTAATCGAAAAATTTTAAGTCCAATTCATTTTTCGAGTACTCCAAATAGCTAAAAACCGTACTTTTAGTGTTTGTAAAATATTTGCTGGGTCACATGTTGTTAAACAGCCCAGCACAAAAAGCATTTCACGACTAGAATATTTTGGCATATGCCTTTAAAAAAATAATAATATCATGAAAGTCATCTTTTTTTTGTCTTTCTATACTTTAACGTTTGTAATCCCATTTCAAGTGCATTTTGTATTGACGCTTCGCCTTCACATTCTTGATACTTTAATTGTTCGAGTAGTGCAACATGTGAACGTGGATTACCCGCTAATTCACTTATTTTTTCTGAACGTTTCTTTCGTGTGATTATTAAACCTATTTGAGATATTGGATTTGAATCAAAATACATAAATATAAATTCTTTTAAAAGCTAAAAAACAGAATAAAACTAAGATAAAGAAACACCGTAGAAATTTTTATACGTACTTCAATAGAACAAAATAGTCGATTTGGTCGAAGATCTTGATCTTTCATAGCATCGGACATATCGAGTACTACATAGAGATGACGCATCTAAGAACATATGAGATAAAATCTTCCATTTTCTTTCAAAAAATAAAAAATTCGAACCATTCCCAGTCGAACATTAGGTAATTGTGCTAATTCTTTACGTCGATTTTTCTGATTGATAGCATTAACAGTAGCTGCAATGGAACCACTTTCATCTTCTTGAATAACTTCCCTAAAAAAAATAGATATCTATATTTTAGAATTGACTTTTTTTTTTGAATTATCTAATTTACCAAGTTCGTTCATAACCTGATTCCCAACGATATTGATCATCATCTTGATCCATTTTTTTACAATTAATCTAAAACTTAAAATCTTATATATATATATGTATCCAAGTAATAGTTACGCAAGCAAAATATCTCTTTGATATTCTTCATCTTTCAGAGAATAACTTTGAAATAATCCATATTTCACCTAAAATTATAAAATCTGCGAACACAAATGTCAAACGTTGAGCGTCGCTGGTAGACGGTTGTGATTAGGTTGACATTGTATAGAACATTTACTTTTCTAACTATGAAATCACAGAATATATTTTTAATCATGAATCCAATAGATGGAAATAGTTTCCTGAGATCAGAAAACAAGTCTCGCTGATATTCATATTCATCAAATAGCTGAATCTGAGAGAGAGATGTAGATTTAATATTAATATGAAATGAGAATTCACAAATGTATGTGAACAATTCACATGTTGCTAATTGAATATAATGAAGAAAAAAAATGATCCTATTCAATCATGTGTGCAAATTATTTTTCAATGAGAAAATGAGTGTTGCAGCTCATTATCATCAGAAGAAACTATCAAATAGATTATTGAATTTAATCACATGAGCATTTTGTTTCTTGAATTTGATTTTTCTATTCATCTCTTATGTATTTCGATACATTCGCTTTTAGTTTGAACATATGTTGACATGAATTTTCCAAAAATTTTGTTTTACTCTCAATCGTGAAAATCAACACGAAGTATTATAACAACTCATAATTGTTTCAACAAAAATGTATATTCACTTTGAATATTCTTGACCTCTAAGTTTCGAAAATTCAATCTTTCGAATGCAAATCTAACGGTAACATGTTATTCTTTTGTTACAAAGACTCATTATCACTCGACGAAGTTCATTTCTTTCTTACATGAATGTGTCCTATAAGTGGACGCGAAAAGTCAATATTCTTTTTCCATTCACCTATATTCAAACGTAACTGATTACGTGTTAGTGTGATTTCATGTACCCATTTATTCAAATATTTGCTAATCTTCACCTTTCTGTTGAACAAAAAAAAAAATACTTTGAGCAGGTACACGAACTCTCTTTGGCTGTGTTACATTCAGTAACAGACATAAAATCAACATTAGTGAAAAACCAAAATACCATTGTTTTATTTTTATTAATTATGAATGAGACAAAATGAAAATATAGAAGAACTTTTTCTTTCAATAATGAGATCGTTTTGTATTGTTCAATCCCCAAAAAAAAGACAAAGTTCAAATAAAGCACATTGATTGTGGCGACATCTAAGTTCAGACAAAGGATTCTAATGCTTATCTGATTGGTACTCATTTCACCGGGAATAGACAAAGGCCGCACGTTCATATCAGACAAAGAACTAGCACGTTCGTTGAATGACCGTTCTTTCTTTCTACACTTTTGTTCAACGAAATCACTTCTTCGTTCTTCTTTCGTTATTAAAAACTTTCATTGTTTCTCATTTTTTAAGATAGAATCTTTTTAGGGGAAAAAGCATCTAGACTTTTTCAAAACATGCTTCAACATTTATCAGCAACTAGTCCTTATGTTTGGTTAGTTAAAGTTTGCTAAAAGTTAGTCTTTTGTTTTCTCAACATATGAACTTCATTTATAGTGACTTGAGCCGTGGCCCAATTGAACCCGCAAATCGTATGGCATCAACTTCAACAAATAAATTAACCGGCTTACTCGAACCAAAAGAAAGCATTTCAAAAGTAATTTATCGCATGAATTTTACTTATGTAGCTATAGTCTTTTGCTCTGAATAGACACGTACACCATTAAAATTACTCGGACCCGAAGAAGTACCAATGGATACGACAATGACAACACATGATATTAATGCAAGTCTTCAACCTGTTTGGTATACAGAACAAACAATCGTCGACGATCATCATATACAACAAGAAGATAATCCTTCGATGATTCAGGAAAAATCTCTTACAACTTTAACACGTTCAACATTACCGCCGATACAAAGTGCAAATACATTAATTGACGAAGAAGATGACTTCGTTCCAAGACAACCATCATTAATGCATAAATCATCAACATTCACTATTGAATCACCAATGAAAGTCGGTTTGGCTTCAGATGATTTAGAAAAAGAAAATATTATTAAAGATGATCCAATGCCTTCTATGACCGCACCATCTGATGAATCATTTCGTGCACTTGAACATCTCCTAGGTCTTGGTTCAGCAACAACCACTATGCGTGAATCACCAAAACCAAATCATGATACACTTTCATTAACCGTTGTTACACCAACCGATATTATTAATTCAACACGACGATCATCACGTTTAAGTTTTGCGCAAAAAACTATCACAGACAGTTTACCATCATCACAAGAAATACCAATAATGGAGACAATTGAAAGTATCGCATCAGCTAGTCCACCATCGTTTCTTGCTGATAATACAACAATTGCTGATGAACAACCATCAATGACATCGAATCAACAAAATTCATTTGATTTAACTGAAAGCAACTCCAAGATTGATGATGAATCAAATTTTTCGTTCGAATTAAATGACTTTACTAATAGCACAAAAAATGAATCGACAATTAATGTACCAGAACCAACTGCACCAATGATTACCATGCGTGCACCAACATGTGCTGATGTTGCTTATCGTGCTTTAATTAAATCACGAACAAACGGACGAGTATCTCAACCAATTAAAGCTGATTCACCATTAGCAACAACAAGTAATAAAAGATTATACTTTCTGTTAAACATCATACGAAAATCAATTCTCTTGTAGATAAAGCTCGTTCATCCGCTCCAGCATCACGCTTTCTTCGTTCAAGCTGTCGTCGTATATCAACTGATTCTGCTGCACAGAATTCACTTGTTCAAGGTACGTATCTCACTAATCGTAGACTTCATGAGTTACACTTGTGAGTAGAAATCCGAACGAATTCTTGAAGTATAATTGTAACCTATTGCGACCATCACAGGTTGTACATAAATAACACTTCGTTGTAAGGATATTTCTAATTTAAAGTACCACAATCTTGGCCAAATTTTTCTATGAACAATAATTTTTCATTTAGAACAAACGGCAACAAATAACGAATGCTTCATTAATAATGAAGATGAAGTCGATAAGGATCAACAACAAGGTTTTATCGACATTGTTAGTGTACCTGAAGAAGATGAAAGCGAACAAGAAAAATCAATGTCAGTTACATTAAATACTAATTCACCAAAACAAAGCAATGCATCTTATGCCACCTCACCGAAACAAGCTAATGCATCTTACGTCAATTCACCAAAACAAGGCAATGTATCTAATGTGAACACGCCAAAACAAAGGAATGTATCTTATGTTAACTCACCGAAACAAAGCAATACTTCTAAGTTCAATTCACCAAAACAAGGCAATACTTCTAAGTTCAATTCACCAAAACAAGGGAACACATCTAATCTTGATTTATCAAAACAAATAGATGAATCTTATCAAAGTGTAGCAAGTGAACAACCACAAATTGGTTCACCATCACAAGAATTAGCACCATTATTATCTCGTGAATATACATATAATACACCAAAACGTCGCTCATCTAAACCCAATGGTTCCGTGTTAAACGCTACAACGAATTCAACAATTCTAACACAACAGAAAACCGTTAACGAAGAACAACAATTCAAATCGCCATCAGTTGCTTCAAAATCAATGTTGAACATTCTTTTAACTCAACCAACTGAACAAACGATATTATCACCAATGGAATCAGCTGTCAATTCTCCAGCTATTGCTTCGAAATCGATGTTAGGTGTTCTTTTAACTCAAAAAGAAGAGCGAACATCAACAAGAAAATCAAAAGCAGCATTAACACCTGCTCAGTCTCCATCGCTTGCGTCAAAATCAATGTTAGAAGTTCTTTTAACTAAACCAATTCAAACGGAACAACGAACCTCAACAAGAAAATCGAAAGCAGCATTAACACCTGTTTCATCAGCTACTAATTCTCCATCAATTGTTTCGAAGTCGATGTTAGGTGTACTTTTAACTAAACCAACTCAAACCGAAGAGCGACCATCAACAAGAAACTCAAAAATATTAAAACCTACTCCATCAGTCGTTTCAAAATCAATGTTAAACATTCTCTTAACTCAACCAACTGATGTTGAACAAAGTGCTTTACATGATACATTAACCACGTCAGTCAAACCATCACCACGACGAACTTCACGTGGAACTAAACGTTTATCGGCAAATTTAACACCACGCGCTAGCATTAATCCACTTCATTCATCAACACCATCATCCACAACACGACATAAATCATTACAAATGGTTTCAATTGGTGAACAAGAACAAGTTTTAACAACTGCTCTTACACAACAGGAAATCGAAATCGTACAAGTTGATGATAGTCATGAAGAAAGCATTCGACAATCAACACCACCAAGTCGTACAATGGATGCCGGTGTTCAAACAACGCCAAGTCTTAATATGGTGACACGTCGTTATTTCGATAGTCTCGATCAAGAATCAACATCGCTATTTGAAATGAATAAATCATCGTCAAGTGTTATGGTGGAAGAAAAACAAATAACACCATTACAAACAAAAATCATCATGAATTTGAAACGCAACGTTCGTTTTCAATTAACACCAACAACGGATGCACGTTTAACTGAAAAAGAAAAACTCGAAGAAACTTTACGTGGATTAAAACCAGACGTTGTCATTAATCCTACACCTGTCGTAGCTCAAGTTGTTAAAGCTGAAGTTAAAAAACCAGTTAAACGACTTAAGAAAGCTTCGAAGCCAAAGAAGAAACTTCTCACAAAAAAGAAGAAAACTACAGCTGTAAGTGTCTGTTTTCTTGTTAACTATTTAAATGCTCATGTTTTTATTTAGATTAAGAAGCCAATTGAAAATATCCCACAAGAAGTTCAACATATTTCACGAAAGAAAGATTCAAAAACAAAAGTTGAATCTACACCATCGAAAAAAGCTTCGCAAAGAAAACGCGCAAGCTCCGAAGTGGTTGTTGAAGCAGTTACTGCTAAACGTTCAAAAGTCTCAAAACCAGCTGAAGGTAAACCTTTATTTTTAAATTGTTTCGATATCTCATCTGTTATTTTTAGCTCGTGTAACATCATCAAAAGTTCGAACAGCATCAGCCAGCATCAAAAAGAGCAAAGTCGAATCAACAAAACGACAACGCAGTGCATCAAAAACTAATGAAAAGAAGAAAGCTGAAACGAAAAAACAAAAACCAGCAGCTACTAAAATTGCTAAACCAGAATCAAAACAAAATGCTTCAAAGGCCAAAAAAGCTGAACCGAAACAAGAAAAACCAACACCCGTTAAAGCCGAAAAATCAGAATCAAAACGTGCTGCTTCAAAAGCTAATAAAAAGAATTCATCATCGACAGAAACTGTTGCTACAAAGGTTACAGTCGAACCAACCAAGTCAACAAGAGGTGCTTCAGGCAATACTAAAAAGGCTACAAGTCAACCAGCTGAAGAAAAGCATAATGCTTCTACGATCAACGAAAACAATAAAGTCGAAATAGTTGAACCGAAACGAAAATCTTTGAAAAGTACTAAAAAAAGTAAATCTGAACCACAACGAGTCGTTCCGACCACAAAAAAGACTGAATCAACTGAACGAAAACGAGGTGCTTCTATTACAAAGAAAAATATTCCAGTTGAACCCACTGAAGAAAAACAGAATACTTCGATAGCTAACAAAACGACAACAGCTGAACCAATGAATAATCGACAATCAAGAGCACAAAGTCGTTCAACTAATAAGAATAATGAAGTTGTTCAAAAAGTAGAAACAAAACCAACGAAATCAGCCACAAAAACAAAGAAAGCTCAAGTTGAAAGCGTTGAAAAAAAGGAAGTAGAAAAAGAAAAACCAACTGTTCAAATCGTTGAATCTAATCAAGAACAACGACAAAAGGTAAAAATACTCATTTTTCATTGTAAATTCAATATGAAATATATTTCTATATTATAGTTCGAAGAGTTAACTGTTGCTGAACTTAAATCTCGATTAGCTAAACATAAAGAAGATATACCAAAAGGTGCAAAGAAAGCTGATCTTATCGCTTTACTTCTCAAGAAAGAAACACATTTAGTCAAAGGTAAGATTTAATTCCTACGAGAAATGTTGTTTTTTGCATTTCAATATCTTTCTAGAACAAAAACCTATTGAAACACCAATTGTGAAGACAACCCGCCGCCACAAGAAATAGATTTCTTGATACGAGCTCAATTTATTTTTTTTTAATAATCGCATTTCGTTATTGTTCATATTTCTGATATTTACTCTAGACGTTTGTTTTGTATATTTTGTATAGGTAATGATGTAAATTCTATTGAGCTTGAGTTATTAAATTGTTTGTTTATCTATATTAGATTTAGTTTTGTTGTTTATCCTGATCGAAATAACTTCAATCATATTGTAGTTATATTTTGCTTTCGCTCGTTGTTGTATTATGTGTTCTTGTGTGTTTGCATATCGTCTTAGTTTTCTGAAACTTATGTATTATAATACATCACATGATCTAATAAAAACTTAGCTCTATTTTGAGCTGAAAAAAACGCAGATTGGCCTCATTTTTAAATTAAAAATTTCCAATAGCATTGGAGTATATTCAACAAGTTTTTTGTGCATTATAGTTATTTGTCGATGATCTTAAAAAAAGAATTATTTGAATCATTCTCTTTCACTACGGCTCGTAAATAAGACATAGCCTGAAAAACTGGCGTATCTTTGATTCCACCGCCGTTCCGACATAAATATTCGTAGCCGAATTCTAAAAGTGTGTTGGTAAACAGAACGTGACAGTTTTTTCTTTCTCAGTACAAGATAGAACCTAGTAAATCACGCAACTTTTTCAATGGCACAAATCTTTCCGCTAAATAATCAAATAGTCTATCTGCTCTGGCAAGTCAGTCATATTACGATGGGCACGAGAAAACTGACATAGATTAAGAAAGTTGTTACCTATGTTCACGTATGCACTAATTGGCAAAAATCTTTAAGTAGATCATTCATAAGTAATTGTTAAAAGACAAAATAGGTTTAAAATAACGTAGTTTATAGATACCAAAATGAGTAGTTGATTAAAAACTTTTTTTTTATTATAAAGAAATGATTATGCACACTCGGGTCGGCACAAACAACAAATATTAGTACAATAATTATTGCTTTCTCAAGATGTGGGTGTGTGTGCATAAACGAAACTATGGGAATACCAAAAAATAAATACATAATGTTGATTTGACAACCGTCTGGTTGTTAACTACAATATCGCAATTTGACTAATGAGTCAATTATTGTTATTTTTTTTTGAATTCTAACCGAGTTCAGTATTTTACAAAAATGCATTGAACCGTCTGGGAGTTCAAAAAATGAAATAAACACGTACATTCTTTTTTTTTATCTAAATAGTAGAAATATGCCGATTGACTGTATTGGGTGGAAATGAAAAATTGAAGCGCAATGATCTAGAATCAGGTGTATGATGTTCGCATGGGGGTGGCTAGATATATTAAGCATATAAGCACACAATTACACCTAAATACTCAAAATGATTCACGATTCACTTTCATAAAAAGAGTACTAGCAAATCATTCGCTGTAATTAATTATAAAATCTGGGACTATAGATATTTGACGATAGCCGAACGACTCAGCTATCAATTCAAACCGAGTTTTAGAGACTTCTTCTTCCTTTGAAAGCGTTTTAAGATGTTCATGTCATTTTATTTCCTTCAATGAAAAGTAGACAACAACAAAGCATAGCAATTACACAAGCTCATGTGAAATAGTTCAACATCGCAGATAATATATGTGATGACGATTCTTTGTCATGAATCTATACCGACTGAAAAGAAGTCTTAATAATAACTTCCATCTTCTGTTAATTACGTATTGGAATTCTTGCTTATATGTTTTCGACGTAGAGACAAAAATACTAAATGTGAGTACCGATGGAATGAACGAAACGAAATATCCAATCAAGAACAATGTTGATTCTCTTGCTGATTTCATATATCCAGATGAGAAGTTTAAGATTAGTTGAGGTACAGCTAACGTAACTAATATACTGGAACTAATGATCAGATTTTTATGTTTTCCATATTATTCTTGACTGTTTTTGCACGTTTCCCTTATCCGTCGTAGCTAATAAGATTCGAAGAATAAATTCAGTTGAAATGCAATTAAACATGAGAAAAGGTCGAGAAGTAATGATTGATGCTTGTGCAAGAATGAGAAACCACAATTTGAAATTCAATGCAAAAATAAAGCCAAAATCGATGTGACCGATGATAAATGCCGCAAACAACTTTTTGATATGCTCTCCATTGAAACGTTGAAATCGACAAAGTTCCAGATATGAAACCAACCGTTAACATAATTGAAGCTACAGCAATACTGATCTTGGCATAGATCCGTTGTCTAGTAATGGGCACATAAGAACGAATCTGATAACTTAAAATTTCATCGAGTGAAAGGCCAAATTGTTGTGTCTGAAATTGGCATTGTGTACCGTAGAAACATTCTCGACAGACACACATTATCTTAGTTGGACATGTTGGATTATCTTGAAAGCATTGTGCTTCATTTTGACATTTGTTTAAATCTGCACAATCGTAAGTCATATTAAAGTTGAAATGAAAACAGTTCGCATTTCTTTGCTCTGTGCAAAGACACATGAATATTTCATTATCATGAAAGCAAACAAGATGAGGATTTTTCATGTATGGAAGCTGATAATATTTGGTTCGACGAAGAATTGGATAGACAATAATTGATGCGTGCAACAAGTCTCGAACGTGTGGGCAGTATTGAGATCGGGTAACTTTTGTCAAAATCATTACCGAAGAACTGTAGTTTTGTTGAAGCACAGTAAGGTAAAGCTGGTTCGATTTGTGAGAAGATTGAAGATTCTTAAGGTTGTATGTGCGAACTGTGATAAAGTGAACCAGAAGAGCTTGCGGAATAGACACACCAGGAAAAGAAATCTCGACCTCGACATCCATTTTTTCACGTAGCTCTCCGGAAAATTCATCCTGACAAATACATGTAAATTTTGTGAAAGAAGTTCGATCGTTAGAGGTTACACAAACACCTTCATTCATACACATATTCTTCTTGCAAATCGAATCTAGAAAACGTCGGGGGTGACATCTTGGTTAAAGGGCAAAGACAAATCGATCGATTATTTACAATACCAACACAAAGTGAATCTAATGAACAATTGCATTGGTTTTGATCAATAGGACTTAGTTGAGACTTGTTTGATTCATATCGATGAGATTTGGCACTATCATGTGCTTGTTGTTCAGCACATCTTCTATCACTTGATAAATCACATTGATGTTCTACTGGAATTATTAATTGAGCACTAACACGATTGCCAGACATGAACAGAAGCTTCACCGGTAATATCCAATTTGTAAGATAGATATCAGATTCACATTACTATAAGCATCTATATGAACTGTAAAACTAATTGTCATGTCTTTGGGTCGATCTCGATACAGAAGATAACTGTTAAATTTAGTGTTACAATCGTGCATAGGTATGCAAGTTAATTGTTCATGTGAATGAATGCAACCAGTATTATCAGCTAAAGTAATTATAATACAAATAACAGCAAAATTATTAAAATTTTCGTTCTGAAATTTAACTGTAAGACTAACACGTTGATTTTGATATTGACAATGATCACCATCGACGTCGTTTAATTTATTACCAGTAATTCTATTCAATTTCTAATCAATTCTTTTTCTCTTTCTATTGGTAATAATAAGTAGCATTTTGGTTTTACGTATAAAAGTATGACAGAGTCAGAACAACGAAAAAACTCCACGGTGGGCATGCACATTGGTAGAGAAAAGGACAAATAATCGTATCTTACTCTATTTTTCGTCGGTACTATCGGTATCATGGTGTGGGACCTACAATTGGAACCCTAGTATTGAAATCCGATAGGTTTCAGTGTCGGAATTTAACGGAATCCGACATAAGCATTCGATCCATGTGTTCTGTTGATACCATATATGCTTATTCATTGGTAATTAAGAAAATGTTTCTTTTCCGTCGGATCCGTTAGTATTAGTAGGTCCTAGTCCCGGAATCCGATAGGATTTTGTTGGCTTGTCAGATTCAATAGAATTCACTGTCGGATTTCATTCACCTGAGAGGGGAGAGTTGGCTAGGGAATAGTTCAACAATGAATATGAATTGTCAACGAAAATAATTTAACGATCAAAATGAATTTTGGTGATGAAAATAATCCCTCAAGACAAATGACGTGTATATACAAGATAGTTGTTCGTCCGCTTATTCACGACACTTCGAACTAATTGGGATTGATTATAAGATCTTTTGTTTAAACGCTTTTAAAAAAGCTATCCAGCGCAGCCCCTTTGGACTAGAATGTGTTGTATTTTGGTAGGCGCCTGTTTTTTTCTTTCACGTTTTTCCTATTTTTCGTTTTTTCTTCATTTTTTTTATTTTGATCCTAATTAATAATTACCCTTTTAATGTCTGTAATGGTGGGCATGTTTGTAATGGATATGTGTCAGTAAGGGGAGAAGGAGATGGGGATGGGGAACCGCAAAATTCTGCCCCTATAACTTACACTCAGTATTTTCTTCAAAAATATACGTAAGTTCCACAAAAAGACTTCAAACCATAATTTTCCCATGATTGTACGGGCAAACCTCCGCTATTTTAATCCATAAGAGGTCACTAGTGTACATGTATTCTGCCAACCATTGATTGGTTTGTTTAGTTCGATATCGTTTTATTTTCGCTAGTCTTCGTTGTACCACTGTTTGATCAAACACATAACAATTAGTCAGCTGATTGATGTTTTGGGTTGCGTTTTTTACAGTTAATATTCTTTTATTTCTAGATAGTAATCTTTCTTCAACAATATTCTAATTACTCGTTTGATAACTATTAAACAAACAAGGGTAAGTCGTATTTTATTCAGTTATCTTAATGAAATCCATATTTTTTTTCTAGATGGATTCATCAAGTTACACTGGTTTACCAAATAAGCTCTGTCAAGGTTTAACATCAGTAAAATCAACATTAACAACTGGTCATATTCTTGAGAAAACTGAAAAAGCATTTATTGAAAAAAATGACATGTTTCATCATCATATGGCACGCAGTGTTTTAGGTATTCAAGCACCATTAAAATTAAAAACTGAGCTACAAATAGCAAATAAAATTGGCCGCCTTCCATGTTTACCAAGTTCACGTTTAATGGCTGATGTATTACGTGGTACCAATGAAGATATATCATTCGATGATATATTAAACAATCCACGTGAATTTGGTGAACTTCAAATCGATCCACATTTAGCTATGGACAAACGTGATCAATTATTTTAAACAAACAAAAATGAAAAAACATTAAACTAGAATAAAAGCTTTTTTTTATTATAAATAAAAGACAAACGTTAACATTCTTCTTTTTTTTGTTGTTGTTCTTCTAGATATGTTTAGTTAAGCATTTAGTTATGCCGAAACATTTAAAAAAAGGTAAAAATTCATTGCAAATAAATTGAAAAAAGCATTCTTTTTTTTTATTAGATCGCCCTCGTAATGCACCGAATAAACCGGGTAGAGTAGATGTTGCTGAAGAATTAGCAGAGGAAGATGATGCAAGTGTTTGTTCAAATATTTCTGATGCAACAAGTATTTATGATGAAGTTGAAGGTAAAAAAACATCCATCAAAAAGAATTGTTTTACTAAATAGATTTTATTTTTTTTCAGCCGGTCTTCAAACTGGAAGTAGTGTGATTCTATCGTCGGAAAATCTTGACGAGAAACTTGATTCTGCAATTGAAGGACTTCGAAATAAAGAGTAAGAGAACTTAACACGTAATTCAGAATAAATAATCATTTGATTATGTATCGTTAAATATTCTGAGTGGAAGACGGCTGTGTATCATTATTATGTCGTTTTTCATAATCCTTGTTGACACACGTGCATGGCATAAATCACATTTTTCTTCTATTAGAAAGCTCTTTTCCATCGTTGAATTCCCTTGGCTCAATTTGATTGACGTAACGACGGGTCGGTACGCTTTTTCAATTCTGATACATTTCTCTTTCAAAACAAAACCATTGTTTCTTGCAAAAACAGGATGAACAATTATCTCTTACGCTACTAAACAAATAAATGAATATTCTAGATTGGTCATTTGATAGAACTTCGGTAGATTCTTTATTGTTGGAATATAATTGAAACGAAGATTATACTGCTCTTCCGTATAACCTTAGCGAACTTCCTTTAAATGCTAATTATAATCAAAGTATTATGCAGATTCTCTCTTCCGGTAAATTGATTTTCAATGCCTGAAAGATACACCGAGATAGATAACATACACTGCAATGACCATGAATTCTAAAGAAGCCAAGCCAATCTTCATACTGATTCTACTTTCAAACTAAATAAAACTGATGATTAATTCAAATAAATTCTCGTGAATGTTTAACTACCTCGAATTTTCCACTTCAACAGAAAGATACTTATTTTTTGTTGAATTCCTATTTGAAACATATTTTAGTTTAAAAACCCGTGAAAGTGCATTACGTACAATACAAGTTTTATTCTGCCAGAAATATCTTCCAGAAGCAGTAGCGAATCGGTAAGAATTTTAGTTACATCAATATAAATAGTTATCTAGTTGTTGTTTTCTTTTTTCTAGAAGTGAAAATTTAATTGAACAGTTAGTAGCATGTTTAAAGAAAGGCAGCGAATCTGAAGGGAAATTAGCAGCTATTGTTGCTTCATTATTTTGTGTTCAACTTGGTGAATCGAATGATGAACTATTTATAAAATTTCGTGAAGCTATTATGCCAATACTAAGAGATGAAACAAAATCACCATCCTTAAGGACAAGTGTACGTTTCTTTTTAATCTATCGAGTAGATTTATTTCTTCTATTGTTGTTCTATTTATAGTATGCACAAGCAATTGGTATAATTTGTTTTATTGCTTGCGAAGAAATTTCAGTAAGAATAAACTTATTATTGAATTAAAACTACGCCTATCATAGTTCTCATGCCCGTAGAAGAATTTTGACCTACGGCATACTTGTTTTAGAAGCAGTAATTCATTCAGAGGATTAGAAAATATTCGTCGAAGCAGAAAAAATATTTTCATCTATACGTTTGGAATTTTACATTATTAGTCAGTAAGACTTCTGGAGCTTTTCTCTCTCATTAACGAAATTCTTTACTTCTAATACAGACACTAATATTAGTATGCTGATATATTTTAGTCTACTTTTGACCTGATGAAATCATTAGAGACAATATTTTCAAAATCCTATTTACTTCATGACAAAACTCCACCAATAGTAACACATGATCTTCAAGAATTACATACCGCTGCACTTGCATCTTGGCGTCTTCTTTTTACAACAATGCCTAGCAGTCATGCACATGATTTAATACGACTGTAAATTGATATGATTTCTAATGCTAAGAATCGCCTATGTTTCTATTTATTTAGTTATGCACCGGAAAAAATTCCAGGACTGATTGAATCAAGCGATGCTGATTTACGTAATCAAGCTGGTGAAACAATTGCTGTTCTGTATGAAATAGCACGTGAAATAAATAGTGTATACAGAAAAAATAAATATATTATTTAAACTATAAAATATTGATGTTTAGATTTTTGCTGATCCATCTGAATCATTATTGATAACATTAGATAAGAAAGCCAACGAAAGTGTTAAATATAAAGGCAAAAAAGAGAAACGTGTACAACGTGCCACATTCCGTGAAATATACAATTCATTTGAAGTACTGAAAAAACGAAATTTTATAGAGAAAAAATATTGAAATCGAACGTTCTGTCGTTTTTTCTTCTTCTTATAAATAGGAAGGTACAAATCCTGACATAACGATTAAATTTGCTCGTGAAGTTTTGGAAATATCATCATGGACAAGTCGACTTTACTATAATGATTTTAGTAATTTATTAGGTGCCGGTATGAATGTTCATTTAAAAGAAAATGGATTTCTTCGTTCGGTTTTTAATTTGGACGACGCTGCCGCTGGCGATAAGCAACAGGCAAAAGGCAACCGTTTCGAACGCGTATGTCTATACAAAATGATTCATATTTCATTAAATATTGTTATTCTGTTTCAGCAACTGGCAAATAAAGCAGCATTCAAGTTACGTACACAAGCTTTGCAGAAAACTCGTGACAATAAAGTTACGCGTATTCGCCATGAAGATTAACATCATTATTAGTTTATTTTTTAAAGCTTTTGTTCCCTCTTTTTTTTCCTTATGAAAAAAATTACAACATCGAGATGATCTATAATAAACATGCGATAATGATATGGATAATATTTCGTGTGCGTGTGATTAAAAATTGAATATCTATTATTAAACGAACGACGGACATACAGTGATTAATGATAACTGAAAGAGGTTTATTTTGATATTATTTATTGCGTGTATGTTGTTTTTCATCACGGGTATATTCTCGATCTATGAAAGGCGCGTTTTTTGTTTGCTTGGGATAAGATTTGTTTCCTGCTTGTATTTTCTGTTCCAATAATAGTTGTGTACCGACTCGCGCGATATTTAACTCAGGCGTGTTATGCGATTTTCTTCTATTTTTATTCAAGAAAGGATAAATAAAGATCGTTCTAAAAGTCTTCTGTTTTTCTACGCGATTCTAGTTATTTAAAGACGAAAATCGAATAGTAGCCGGAGAACGTGCTCAAAATAGATATCGTCATTGACTGTAGCACTTAGCATTGAACAGAATCCGAGAAATTCGTCTTTATCAATGATGCCATCTTCTTGACCGCGTGTATCGAATTTATTGAGAAAATTGCGAAGAGCCTAGAAAAGAAAAATGATGAAAATGTTTCCATCTCAATAATGGAAGTTACCTTATCGACGGATTGATCGCCTTTTTTCTTATTATTTTTAATTTGGCTAGCGTATTTTGTCTAAAAACAAACGAAGAGTTTTCGAATCACGACGAATGAATCACAAAATTCTACTTTAAGATCTTGCACTGTTAGTTTTCCATCGTGATTGACATCCATTCCATTGAATAAATTTAAAGCAGCTCTTTCACGTCGTTGACTCATCGGTGGTCGCAATTTCTTTAAGAATTCGTTAAGATCAATTTGACCATTATGAGTTGTATCGAATTGCTGAAAAAGACTTTTTATTTCGTCATCATTTTTCATTTCAACTTTAAGATATTTAATTGCTCTATGAAATTCTTCATAATTTATTCGACCTGAATGATCTAATATTAGAACAAGAACGATTAATATTCATTAGAAAAATAACTAATTACCTGCATCAATCTGTGAAAATATTTCAATTAAATCCGATTGTTTTACTGTGCTTTCAAGTAAACGTTGACGAAATTGTTCCATGATTTTTCTTTTTTTCTCAAGAAAAAAAAGCTGCCGACGTCTTACTAGTCGAAACAGACAACTAAATTAGTCTGCCACTTCTTCTCTACTTTCAAATGATGTTGCTTTCTCTTTCTGCCACCAAGAAGAAAATTATAGATCGATAGAACCGTTTTTTTTCTTCTGTTTCTTCTCATTATTCGGAAACAAGCAGTTAGCGAAGTCTTGTTTACTATTTTCTTGATGATAGCAACTGATGCTCGGTGTCATAATGATAGCTAGATATTATTTGTTTATTTTCGCGATAGGATAAATAATTGAATATAATCGAGTCTAGTTTATTTCATTAACTTGTCAATAAACACAAGTTTATTTGAAAAGAATATCAAATCTTTTTAATAACAAATATGAATAAAACATATCCCATACACACACTTGTTTGGAGAGAAAAAAATAGTTTAGTGCTTGATTTTTCTTTTTTTCATGTATCAATTATCGATAATGATTCGTTGATGTTTGTTCGACCGTTTCGTACAACATGTTGTCGAAGACGCGCACGAAATACTTTAGCACGTAAAAGATTTCGTCGACGAATTTCATCCATTTGGTTTTGACGTCGTCGATTGTTGACTTCAGGTAATTGATCATATTTTTTTTTCGTTGCTTGTTTCATTTCTCGATATGTTGAAGATACTCGTGATGAGTTCAATCGCTCATATGGAACCGTATATGCAATACTTCGACGAGATGATGATGATGCTGAAACAGAACGCGATGATCGCGTTGATACCGAACGATTTGATGGATTTGAACAGCAAGTTGCACAAGAAAATAGAAGCATTTCTTGGCGTTCACGTTCGATTTCATTTTGATGTTCACGTTCTTCACGTAATAGACGTATACGTCGAGCACGTTGACGTGAACGAGATATGAAGTCGGGACGAAGAAGCTCGAGAGCTTGTTGAAGAGACATAAGTGGGGGTCCTTCCATTGGTGGTGGTGGTGGTGTTGGAGTTAATGGTGGTGATAGAGCTCGTTGTTGATGGTAATATTCGTTTGGTTCATAAGCTGGTGTATGAGTTGGACTTGGTTGTTGATGATAATCATAATGATGAGTCGAATTTTCAAGCATTACGGCACGACTTCGTTGTGAATGTAAACGTACAAGAAGATCTTCACATCGACGTGCTAAATCAGCTAATTCTTCATCTTTATCTGTTAGTTTTGATGTTACAGGAGGTTTATATTGATATGCTTGATCTTCTGCTGTAGTTATTGTTGGTCTCGAAGAAACAGAACGATCTGTTTCAAGATAATCGTCGAAACGTTCATAGAATTGTTGATTTCGTTTATCGGATGAATTCTGTTTTTTATCATTGTAATTATGACTTTGTTTGATTTGATTTTCCGGTTTGGAATGAACATCGGATTTCATTCGATGACTATTTATTGGTGTTCGTTCAGTTAATAAATGATCTACAGCAGAAAGATCATAATCAATTGAACATTCCGATTGTAGTTGATGAGATTCGGATAAATCTTTCTGATCAGTATTCAACGATTTATCACCAAGATCATCTTCAACAGGTGATGTTGACTTTTCTGTAATCTTTTTCTGTCGTTCTTGTGATGACATAATATCACTGGATGTTGTTGTACCATCGCCAGCAAGTAATTTTTCGACTCGTTCAAGTAAATGTTTATTTTGACTTACAACTTCATTATTCTTATTATGAGCTTGTCGAGGTCGATGATGCAGATTTTCATTTTCTTCATTTTCATCATCGAGAGAAACGAAAAATTTTTTTGTTGCTTGTTGTTTCAATTTTTGATGGTCAACATAATTATTATCGTTGTTTGTTTTATTTTCTAGAATACTTGCCGATTGACTATCACCATCTTGCATTGTTCGATATGTTTCTTGTAGGAGACGTTCAGCTTTTTTTCGTTCATGCCTAGTGTGACGTTCAAGTTCATGTAGGCGCTCTTCGTTGCGTTGACAGTTGCGAACTATTTCTTCAAGTGCATCAATGGATAGAGATGTAGGCGATTGAGAGGTATTTCGTGATGTTTGAACATATTTACTCATATCGTTTTCAGTACGCAGTGAAAGTTTACTACCGTAAAGTATAAATGAGAGAGTAGAGCGTCATTTTAGAGTAAATGTGAAGCGCATGAAAAAGAGAAAAAAAAGAGAACAAGAGAAAAGAATGAGAACCAACAGAAGTACCCTTGTGTGACATGGCAACGAGCAACGTTGTGGTTATATTTCTAGTCGGACGATTTTTTTTCTTTTCTTTTCTTTATTCAAAGTTTGTTATGTTCTGGTTTAACATTTTCTTCATGAAATAGAAAAAAAAGAAATCACACGCAACAAAAAAGAAAAAACAAAAAAGAAAATTTTTCGATTGAATTCGTTGTTATCTTCAATTATTAGAGAACATGATAGAAATCAATAAAGAAAGATAGGTTATTCTGTTTTTTTTTCTGCCTAATTTAGCTACACTGGTCACAAAGACGTTGTTGTTCTGAATTAACTGTATAATTTTTTGATAATATAATTTTTCCGCAATTAAAACAACGAAAACATTCAATATGAAAATATTGATTCTCATATCGTCGTGTGGATATACCTGGTGGAAATGCACGGCCACAAACAGCACAAGATTGAGCAAATTGACTCATATGACATGATATACAATATGGCTGATTTTCATGTTCGACATAAAGCATAGTACCTAATGGTTCCGAACACGAATGACATGTGAAACAATCAGCATGAATTGGTTCATCTTTGTATTCAATATAAGATTCTTCAGTAATTGGTTGTGAACATTGAGTACAAGTGACAACATCGCTTGATTTGGTTTGACAATCCGAACAACGATATTCATTGTTGCCCAAATTATAGAATGATTGTGTTATTTGTTTATGGCATGTTGAACACTGAAAGCATTTTTGATGATATTCAAGATCGTTATATTTCGATTTTTTATCACCATTTACAAAATGTTTTTCACAGAATGCGCATCGACTGGCCATAATTTTTCTTTGTTTTGTTTTTCTTTTTTAAAATAAAAAGGCCTTCTTCATATCATGAAGGTCCTCTATTATTTTAAACCGATAGGAAAAAAAGACAAACGAAAAATGGAAGATAAGAACTTTCTTCTATTATCACCTGCTATTTTTTTCAGAGAAATAGAAAAAAAGAAAAAGAATGATAGTACGGTCAACATTTTTTAAATTAATCACTGCTGGCATTGTTATTTGTGGTGTTGTTGTTATTATACTTAATCTTATTTCTTACCATCAAAGTGGCCATGATTATAGCTTACTTGACGACAATAATGCATATGTTATGTCGAATCGTGATGGTGATGCATTGATTCGTATTAAAGCTGATGTTCAATCGAATAGTAAACCAGCAATATTATATGCTAATAATGGGAAAACTGATGTACCGGAAGTACGCATTCGAGCTTATATGATTTCAATGAATCATGAACAGGTAACGAATTTGAATTTTAACAGTACGTTTTACTTCTCGAGAATCAAGGCGAGATTTGTTCTTGCTCTTATTATTTACCTAGATAAGTTTGCTGTAGGCACTTTTAATAGCGCTTCTTTTACGTTGATGTTGAATGAAATCTGTGCAGAAAATAGATTTCTTCGAAATTTGAAAAAATATATGGAATGGGGCAAAAATTTTATTTTTGATATAGCGCTACGAAAGTCGGAGAGACTCTATTCTGGTTTTTGTTAGCAAGAGAAAAGTGTCTAATGTAAAAATATATGAACTAATTTTATTTCAATTGTTTTCTGAAAGCTACAAAAATCTTAGAGCGAAAAGGTGTCAGACAATTCTTCCGTAGCTTTGATCACAATTATTTTATTTTCGAGGACTGTATATATATGAAGTTATTCATGACAACAGATGTTTTAATGTGATATTGGAATAATTGGTCTACCATACAAAAAATATGAAATATTTTCTATGTTCAAAATGGCTACGGGAGAGTTTTCGAGCATCTCCGACTCTAAGATTATTATGACTTTTGGAAAACATTTTCAATAAAGTTCTTTCATATATTTTTGCACTCGACACTTTAATGAAGTCTCTATGACATTCCATCATACCGCTCTATCGAAAACAAAATCAATACAAAACTTTGGCACCACGCTTTATTTTGCTAAAGTGACCGGAAATGGTTGATTCAAAAAAGTAAATGCTATTAGCTAGTTTTCCTCTATTCCATACTATGATATGACATTTTTTTCTAATTAGATATTGTGTTTAATCTAATTTCTATTAAGATAACTTCATTCTTTGTTTGAATGTTGTTTCTTTCTCGTTCGTGTGCTCGTGTTTTGGATTGCATGTTTGTTCTTCTTTATTTCAACATACTTTTTTGCATTTTTCTTTCTCTCCTATTCTTCATGATACTTTTTCAAACGCTTATACTGATGAGATCTATTGATTTTCTCGTATATACGAATATTGTAAAATATAAGTAAACAAAAATTTGAGCATTGAATATTCTTTACATGGAATTACTGAATTGAAAAGAATTTGAGAACAATCAAATATTTACAAACATATGACTTAGACACTCTCAAGATAAAGTATTCGTATATGTTGACTTCCTATCTTGTTCAAATAGTGCACAAAGCCACAAGAAAGCGTATGTCAAGAATTTTTTTTTCTATGTTTAGGAACAACATGTTCTTGTTCGTGAAGCTGGCGAAGGCAATTTCAATATTCTTCTACTTCATGGTCAATCATTTTCTTCGAAAATATGGGAGAAAATTGGTAATATTCATTCGTGATTCATTTCTTCTTTTTTTCATTCGATTCATGTTTAGGTACGTTGCAATATTTGGCAAGTTGGGGATATCGAGCATTTGCAATTGATCTACCTGGTAAATAAAGAGTTTTATTTGTACTCATTGTTTGGTTTTATATTACTAGGTTATGGAAATAGCTCATTACCTGTTATTCAAGAAGCAGCAGCTGCTCAATGGTTGATACGACTTATACGTACGCTTCGTCTTTCAAACTTTGTTATTATCAGTCCATCTATGAGTGGTCGTTTTGTATTACCTTATGTTATTCAATCTAATACTAAACATCAATCTATAATTGGTTTTGTTCCAATTGCTCCAGCCGGAACAAAAAAATTCGATGCAAAAGATTATCAACAAGTTCAAGTAAGTTCAATTTCTTTTTTCAAATAATCTGAATCAATATTTTCTATCATTGTCAAGATTCCAACCTTGATTGTACACGGTGAAAATGATACAGACTTCCAATATGCAATCAACACTCTGAAATTAATTCCATCTAATGAAGTATTGACGATTAAAAATGCTTCACATGCTTGTTATGTTCAACAGCCACCACAGTTTCACAATGGTCTCCGACAATTTCTCTATACTATTTATCGTCCAATTTATATTGAACAATATAAATCACGTGCAGCATCATTAACTAATTCTAATTCTTCATTATTATTAGAAAAATCAGATGATCATGGCAGAAATACTAAATTAAAAAAAGAATCCAATAATCGAACAATAAGTGAAAAACACACGCACGTTCATTAATACACGTGAACATTGTTGAAGGTTTAAATCTGTACTTTATTTCAACTTATCCTACAATCTAGTCCTCGATATTATGTTAAATATCATTCATTCATGACTTGGCACATAGAATTTTTATTTCTTTTTTCTTTTGTTATCCTTGAACAAAAAGAATAAAATGTTTAACTGTATTTACATTAGATCATTGATATTAATATTTAATGAATGATATTCAAGAGTTTCGTTGATTGAAATAATAATTAAAAAAAGCAAGAAGGACATTGATAAAATTCTCTCTGCAGAATATTTGTATGAATAATTTTGAAACCTTTTTGTTTGATTCTTGTATTGCTCCTACTGTATTGATTGGAAAAGAATCATCACATCAAAGCTCTTTCGCACTCTGATAGAAAGTTCGACTCAGATTTCTATTGACTACAAACAATGTGAGAATACTATGACATCTTCCGGATTGAATACCACGATATTCAGGATGTTTTGATTGGAAGATGGTAAATGAATGTTATAGTTTGCAATAAGCTTGTTCTTTGCTGTTTCGAATGATTTGTATTTTATGTTACATTCTATAAAAATCATTTGACATTCATCATATAGGATATATCAAGGTGTTTACCGCATGGTTTTCTATTCTTTTTTCTTTTTCTCGTATCTACCGGTCTCCCTTTATTTCTGGTTATTTTTCTATTTTCGTTGAATTTTCACATACATCTTTTGAATCGAAATCGAACATCATCGACATTTTCTTTACCATCATTTCGTTCATTACTTTGTATTACATAGTACGAAAAAAAAACAGGTTGAAATGAGGTTGCGGTTACAACACTTATAAGAAAAAAACAAGCGAAAGGACACACCTCCTCATCCAGCAAAAATACCAGAAAAAAAACAGTTCGATTTCTGTGCGATTTCTATAAATAAAGGGATTTATGATAGCATAATCAAGTGTAACATATTGTATAGTGTTTTCAGTAAAATTAAATATTAGGGCTTTCATAAGCACCTAGATGAAATTCATCAGAAAACCTGTGAGTACCAGTATCGGTATTTCATGAATACCTCTGTATTAAATGGAGTTAAAGCAATGAAAGAAAAATTACTAGGTAATATTTTGATCTTTCCGTGATTTTTGTTTACTTTTAACCGCACATGGTGAGGATGCGTAGGACGAAAACATACGAGCGTTGCATTTACTTTTAGTTTAGGGTCAGAGCAGAAAAAAGAACGCTTCATCATTACTACATTTAAACAACACAAATATGCCTTCCTTTTCAACACCATTGAAACTTGGTCCTCTGCTTTTAAAAAATCGTGTTATTATGTCATCGTTAACACGCGATAGAAATCTTGTTCCGGGTCCACTTCAAGTAGAATATTATACACAACGAGCTGGTGCAGGTCTTATCCTTACTGAAGGCACAATGATCGAAGAAACTGGCTCTGAATGGTCTAATGCACGTGAGGCTCATATCGTTTTTTGTTCTTTCTTTTGTTATTATTAATCTATGATTAAATTCTAGCTGGCATTTACACAGACGAACAAGTAAAGGGTTGGAGGAAAGTTCTTGATAGTGTTCATGCACGTCAAAGTTTTATGTATCTTCAATTATGGCATATTGGACGAGTAGCTCATCCACTTCTTCAAAAGGGCCGGCCTAATGTTGGACCATCAGCGATCGGAGCTAATGGTGGTAAATTTCGAGTACTACCTGGTGCACCTGGATATGTTGTACCAGAAGCTATTAAAGATCCTACAAGTTACATTGGACTGTATAGAAAAGCTGCTGAACGAGCTAAAGAAGCTGGATTTGATGGAGTTGAATTGCATAGGTAAACTAGTTGAGGGATTCTAGGCTTTTATTTATTGTACGAAATGTTTTCTTCGATTAGTGCAAATGGTTATTTACCTCATCAATTTATTGATAACACATCAAATAAACGAACAGATGAATGGGGAGGATCAGCAGAAAATCGTTGTCGATTTCCACTACGAGTTATAGATGAAATGTGTAGTGTATATGGAAATAATCGTGTCGGTATCAAACTTTCACCAGGTGGTGGTTATAATGATATGGGTATGAGTGAGAAAGATACATCGGAAACATTTGCATATCTTATTCAAGAATTAAGTGCTCGACGTATTGCATATATACAGTTGGCCCGTTATTGGGATCTTGGCGACCCACTAAAACGCGGAAAAGAGGTTGATATATTTCAATGGAAAAAGTTAATTAATTCTGAGCATACGGCCCTATTGGTTAATACAAATTATAATGCTGAAGAAGGTGAAAAAACATTGCAAGCTGACTTAGCCGATGCAATTGTATTCGGTCGATTCTACATTGCAAATCCCGATCTAGCTGAACGTTTGATAAAAAATCAAGAATTGAATACAAAGTTTAATATGAAAGGCTTTTATGGAGGTGAAGCCGAAGGTTACACAGACTATCCAACATACGAACAACAAAAAATGAAAGAACTCTTATTTAATAAAGTTCTTCATTAATTGTGTTTTTTTCACCGATTATTAATAAATGCTCTTTTAATAAAAAAAAAAAAACACATATTCTCAAGGCTCAAAAGCAACGTTGTCATTAGATCGAAACTACTGTATTACATTTGCCATCTTAGCTCCTTCGTTAGTTTTTTCTTTCTCTTTCCATTCGTATTATTCTTCATTTTCCTTCGTTTTCTCGTTCTTCGTCCGCTTGTTCACCTCCAGACTTTGACGAGTCTATGTAGTGTGAAAAGAAAAAAGTGGGATGCATCGTAGAATCGACTAGTGAGCGCATGCGTAATGAGATTTCTCTCTTCTTTTCTTGCGCATTCTTTCCTCTAGCTATGAGCTTATTCGTTATGCCAGTCGTCCATGAGGTCTATTGCTGATGTTGCGTTGTGAACAGAAGAAAAAAAACGTTGTGCGCGTGATCTGCGTTGACTCGATTCATCATATGACAACGCATCAGAATTTATTTTCTCTTAGTCCTTAGTGGAATACTCTCAAAGAATAAAAACAGAAAGAAAAACGAAAATAGCATGTCCTTGAATACAAGTTGTGGTTTTTTATTTCTTTTTTGTCGACAATAACCGATAGGCATTTTATGCATAAAGCTGTTAACTAAATATATGCATTAGATTTTTTTCTTCTTCTTCATATTCACTATCGATATAAATAGTAGCTATATCATATAACAACGTTTAGGAAAGAAAATTATTTGGTGACTCGAGACAAATTCTTGCCTTTTTGCTCTCTTATTGATATGTTGTTGTTATTGTTGTTAATCGTTTCTTTTTCCTGCTCTATATGTACGAAGAGAATCAATTATATGAACGAGAACACGAACGAAACTCGTGAGTGGAGACAATCCCTGTTCTTTTCATTCATTCGTCTTCTTTCTTCTCGGGTTTTTTTTGTTCTATGTGCTGAGCTCTTATATAAGCCTATACATTCGTACCTACATACATAACATAAATACTAAGCGAAAAACGAAAGAAAAAAGAAAGGGAATAACTGGTTATTTAGTTCGACCTTCGTTTCAAAATCAAACTGTTGTCATTGTCTGATCACATTCTATTGTCTTGTTTTTTGATTACATTAGTAGTAAAGCATTTTTTTGGTTAGTCTAATTGATCGTTTATACTAATCGATATCATAGAGTAGTATTTTCAAGAACAAAATATGCCATTCATTGGACGAGATTGGCGTGCATATGGTGAACAATGGACAAAAACCGATATAGGTTCATGGGAAAGATCAAGACGACTTTCATTATCAAGTTCCGTAAGTTTTCTTTTTATTTGATTACAATCATACGTCCTTGATATATATATATATATCTAGTCGATAAACTCACATTCCAGCTTATCAGATGTATTTAATGCACTTGAAATAACTGATTCCGTTAGCAATATTCGTCGTTTTAATTACATTGCTAAAGTAAGAAAATGTTGCGTTACGATGTGTTCATTTTATACGTTGTTTTCAAATGAAGGTCGTACAAATTTTATTCAAAGAAAAATTAGGTGAACTCAGTGGTAATGCTCAACGTTCTTTATTTCAAGTTATTGGACGAATGATTGATATGGGTATGAATTTAATGCTAGCTGATGATTGAAATTAATTTTCTTAAACAATTCGTATTTATTTAGTTCTTAAAACAGGAGATAATATATCATTGATGCAACGAATACTAACACAATTTCATAGTTCAATAAAATCTGCATATCCATATTATTATTATATTGGTTCAGCTCCATTATGGCAACGACATATAAAAATGTTAACACGAATGCAAGAAACAATAAAACAAGTTCAAGCAAATATGACTGAAACCGATGAAGACGATAAAGATAATGACAGTCCTAATGATAATAAATTAACATTTGATTATCTACCAGTTGAAATGCAACGAGAAGTTGTAAGACGTTTAGATAATGGTACAGATATAGTGAATGTCGGAATGATAAATACAAATTTATATCGAGTTTCACAAGAACTACTCATTTGGCGTCAACTATGTCTCTATCATTTTGGTGGTGATACACAAAACAGTGATAATTCTATGCTCGGAGAAAAAATTCTTCGGTTAATGCGAAAACAACGAAACGATGTCGATAAAAATAATATTGATTGGAAAACTGCTTATTTTAAATTAAAACGACAATATGGCCTTCGTGAAGTTTACGCTGAAATGATACATCAATGTCAATTATGTAAATGTCTCTATTGGCAGGTTAGTTTTGCCATTTTATCTATTTTAAATTTCTATTGTTAATTTCTTTTTTTCTAGGATACTGATCATCCATGTCCATATGAAACACTTTCACCTTCATCAATACCAATAACACCACGAAAACTTGTTACGATATTAGTGTGATATTCCTGCGAATATGTAATTACTGACAGCAAGTCACCGATAGTCATGTTCGCTCGAACATTGGCATACTAACTGAATTATAATATAGACACTTTTTTCTTTGTAGTGATGCTTCCTAATGCTTTAGTGAACACGAGCATCTATGTAATTCATTATACTGAATCGGTGTTGGCGTTGATCAGTAAACGAAAAATGCATATTTATAGTTTAATTTTTAACATTGAAAATTTTATTTTGTGCAATACTATATTTTTTTCGGTGTATCATTATATTTTGTTTTCTTCGTTTTTCAATTCTAATTAAACATTTTGTTTATGTGACAGTGTTTTATATTGTACATATCCTTTTCTCTCTTTCGTTTTTCTTTTTGGCTAAATAAACAGTAAAAACAAAAGCGTATAGATATTACAGAAGAGGAACAGTATGCATTGCATTGCCAGAAAAGTTATGTTTCAATAACCATTGGCGAGTTTGAGCTCGACTTGAATAGGCAACCGATGATGGACAAATGATATTCGGAAGTTTTGGTTTGATTTCTTTAGCTGGCGTATTTTTAAGTGGTTCGATTCCTAGAGAAGATTTATCATTAGTCGCTGGTGTCATATTAGTTTGCAGTGGTTGTTTTGCTTTTGATAGGTTTCGTCGTATTGATGTAGAATTTAAACTGATTAAGTTTTTTATTTGTTTAGAAGCTGCAGGAAATCGAATCGATGCTTTACGTTTACTCCGGCTAGCTGAAGGATCTGATGGTACCGCATCGGACGTCGGTTTTTTTTCAGGTGAAGGATTAATACGATACCCAACTATTTCGCTTATTTGATTATAATCTGGCCATGTTTCATAGACTTTATTAGCACGTTTATCAATTGATAAAACAGGTGAAACACTTAAACATCTTTGCTGATCGTTTTTTACTGATAATAATAATGGATTACTAAAATAAAAGAATCGTTTTTTGTTTGATAAATTACATTTATTTATAAAATTCATAATACGTCGCTATTTTTGGAGTCGAGCTTATATTTTGAGTTTCGGATAAATTGTGCACCAGCTCGTTGATAATAGGTAAACTTTTTTCTAATTTCGATGGTGGTTCTAATTCAAATGTAGGTATTGCTTTTCGATAAATAATAGAAGCATATTCAAGTCTTGGTATAGAATATTTATTTGTAGATGAAGAATATTCATTATTTATTGACTTGATTGGTTTAATATCGGGAAGTTTTTCATTTGAAAACGAATCGACTTGATGATTAAACATTTGTTTATGAATAGCTTGTAGTTTATGACATTCTTTGATATTTGATGCCAACTCATCTTGACGTCGTTGGCGAACCTCATGTAAATGTTTTTTCGCTTCAGCCCATGTAACAACAGCAGGCTTACTTTGATTTTGGTAGGATGATAAAGTTTCACGACACGGATACTCGACTTGCAACATATATGGCGCCCATCAATTGAATTTATACATTTGAGAGTGAGAAAAAAATCTACGAGTGAAAAACAATACAAAGCAATTTTTGTTATTGGATACTGTTGAATCGGAAATGAAGTCTTGAAGGCAAATGAAGTAGTACAGCTGCGAGTCACTTTATTTCTCGGCGGCTTTGCAACGTAGCAATGATTGTTATTGTGCATCTATGTTAATCGAACGTTTTTTTTATTTGCCTTTTTTTTCTCATCAATAATTACATAAAAGTTTTATTTTTCTTCTCGTCATCTGTGCATGATCTCTACTTCGACGATAATAAATTTATAATTCTAAATACACATTATTTTATGAAGCCAACATTTTCGTTTTTCTTTTCAAAATACACTTGTTTCTTCCTTCTGTAATACTACGACTCAAACGGATGATTATGTGATTTTTAATTAAGAATAGAAGTTTTTTCTGATTGACAACTAGAAAATCGAAAGTAAACAATCGTTCGAATATATTATAAAAAAAACGATAAAAGTGCTCAAGTACTTTATTTTTTGTTTTCAAAGTAAAACAAAAAATTGAAATGCATTTTTTGCGTTATTGTATTTATTTTTATTTTTCTACTGGATGAGTTTATGATAGACCTATGCTCGTATGAATGTATCAAAAAGTAAGGATATCACATTTCCTTAGTTCTAATTTGATTGTAATTAGAAGTGCGATGAAAATTTCTATCAGATTAAATAATTGTTTTTTATTATGTCATAGGATGTTTATCGGTTGTATACTTCCTCTTCATTTAAATAGTTAAATAGAAAAGTAGCTTGAACAGGTTTGAATAATAATTACACTGAAAATACTATCAGATAGAAATATTATGTGACATTCGGTTGGTTTTGTTCGAAATATAAAGTGATAAACTCTGTTAAACCTAATGTCAATAATAAATCACATCTATTGATCAATGCATTAAAACGTACTTCATTATTGTTTCTTATGTTTCAACATCAAATGTAGGCCTGTTAATATTTATCTTTTAAAGTAGACTGATTTAGTTTGTATTAAGAAAATAACACATCAAATCGTCGATTAAATTATAACTCAACGTCAATCAGTACTGCCCAGGTCGAACAGTACGGTCCGTATACGGCCGTTTACGGTGCCGTATTACTGTGCCAGGTATTACGGCCAAATACGGCATATTTACTGCCGTAAATATACCGTTTTGGCATCGTTTACCGTCGATAAACAGACTGTAAACGAGTCCGTTTTGATCAACCTGGGTGGTCATCCCATTATGTTATTGGCAATCTGCACGTTTTCCTACATAACATTATACTTAAAGAAGTTAGGTAAAAACTTCGCCATTAAGTCCTAATCTAAATTTTACTAACGCTGGTTCAATAGTAGTGTGTTCGTGTGAACTGAGTAGAAAAGTAATTTTGATCTTACTGCTTAGCTATTGTAACAATCCATATTTGACATTCTACAGGGAACATTAAGAAAATAACTAATTGAATTATAATGGTTAGAAAATTCGGTAATGCAAGTAGTTGATCATTTTTTTATGGACGAATTTTGAAAAAACAGAATACTGACTCTAGTAAATGGAATAGCGTAGTCTATTTCATCAATAAGATAAGATTTTCAATTTCAAATGTTGCAGCAAAATCGACATGGTTTATACCGCAAAATTACTCTGTGTTTATCATTAAAGACGTGATGATAAGATAATACTGAATAGTGAAGGTAAAAGAAATTTGGTGGTTTTTTTAAAAGAAATCCCAATTTTTACGAACAATCTATTTTTGGAGATCACCTCTAGAATGCTATTAACAAAAATTTAATTATTTATAATTACACTAAATGTATTTAATTTTTCATAAGATCGGTCGATTCACACAGGCTTCAGTTCTGTACGAGACAATACAATTGAACAACTATGATGAAATATTTTCGATAGGTATGTCGAATTGAAAATGCCGAATGGAAAAAATAGCGAAAATTTTATTTTAACATTTTTAGACTGGTAAGATGAAGATTTTATATTGTCTGATAAAATTTTAAATACACCAAAAAATGAAATGAATCAAGCATAATTAGTTATAAAATTAATAAAAAGAAAATATTTCTTCATGTATAAGTTTATTTCTTTTGTTTGACTATGATGAGTGAGCAGCCATCTAATAATTGAGCAGCATCTATTTCAAAAAAAAACTTTCTGTATATTCGTATATGTATATACATATTGGATCTATTTCTTTCGCAAATCCAATATTTTTAATGCTATTTCATTTTTTATTCGATATATTAAATCGTTTAAAATTAGCAGGCGATTGCCTGTATTAGAGATAGAAAAAGATACGCTGCTTGTATTCGATGTCATCGAAGTTTTTACTAAATTAACAACAAGTGATATGCAATGTAAAGAAATAAGGTATGGCGTATCTTTATTTCGTTATATCTTTTGTGTCCCTTGTGTTTATTCCGTTAGCTAGATTGAACAATGATACTGTTGACGAACAACGCTAGCCAGTGAAAATAGATAACACAAGAAAACCGATCGAGGAATAGAATATGGCTAACTGAATTTTAAAATTCAAAAAAAGAAATTTATGGGAAAATACACTTTTCGCTATTCTCACACGATCGACATTTTATTTTTCGCTATTATTGTGTTCGACATTTTTTCTTTCGCTCATTTTAATGCCATTCTTTTGGTTAATTTCGACGAACTTACAATTTTATTTTCACTTCGTAATGCGTGCACACGACAAAACACAATTACGGATACATATCTAGCTGCTATACCGAATCATTAAGATAGAAAAATCAAAAGGATTCCCTATAGTCTAGGAATTGCTTTTGAAAATTTCGTAGGACATACAAAATTGTAAGGATGTTCTGACATCATAGCAGTTTTAACAAACAAAAATAATGGGAATGAAAAAATAAACAACTTCATACCATAAAAGCAGCAACTAGAAATGATGATACAAATGCTTCTCTTTCACAAAAATTTAACTATTTTTCAATTACCAGTTCACTGAAATTCGTTTCATACTTGAAATATTTACGAATTTTCTCATAGACATTCACCAAAATTCACCTTTTTCGTGATAAGTCAGTTAACATCTAAATGAGTGACCATGAAGCAGTGCTTATTCAAAATATTTGAAATCACAAAAATGATTTTATGATGAGCTTAATCTATTTATTTTAAGTATACCGATAAAAAGATCACACATAAAACTGATATTTGTAGTTACCCTAGTTTCTTTTGGTATACATTGAGTCCCTCTTGAACGATCAATGAATTCATAAACTACGTGAAATGTGAAAGCTGCCTTTCACACGGAGCCATCTTCATCATGCATACAATCGTATATCAGTTTTATAAAGATAGAAAATTAGTTTTTCAAATTGCTTGCAATGACTACTCAGATTACTTTTTGAAAAATAGATGTACATTGATATTCATTCATTATTAAAATCTTGAAAGAATTATGAACTTCAATTTCCACAGTAAAAATATACCTTTGTTTCTCTATCGGATGAATATCCGCTTCAGTCTTGCTTTGTTCTTTGTCGTTTCATGATTTATCAGATGGGGATCAAGTTTTAAAATATTGTTTTCCATTGCTGATATTTTTAAATACGAAAGTGTGATTGATAAATTCGATCAAACTTTTTTCTCTGCACTCAATTTAAAAATATCTTAGAAAGCATTAACAATACGAACTACGGAATTAAGAATTGAAAGAGGGAAGCGTCAATCGCCGATAACCCCATAAAACTAATGAATAATACTCTCATTCTGAAATAGAATATTGACAAAAACAAAGTTTATCGAATCTTAGACGAATAGCATATTTATTTAGCTGTGATCTATCACATATAAAACTGCTATTCTACTTACTTGCGGTCATTAAAAAACAATATCAATCATCAATATGCGTCTTGCTCTTGTGATTCTAGTGTTGGTTGCAGTCATCCAGCTAAGCTCTAGTGCGTTGACTGTAACTATAAGACTCTTAGATAGAAATGAGTATAACCTGAAATGGAAATATGGTGCTGCTCAAACAATCAAATGGATTACTATTCATAATACAGCCAATAAAGCATCAGCTGATAATGAAGCTAGTTATCTAAATACTCGTCGTGATAATCAGTACATATCATTCCACTATGTCGTTGACAATATACATGCAATTCAACTTTTACCAGATAACACGTAGGTTATTCGGATTCAACATGAAGAATAGGATAGATTAAATTAAATTTTTCATTTTAGTCATGGTTGGCATGCAGGTGATGGCAGTGGTGAGGGCAATAAAGCTTCAATTGGTGTTGAAATTGCTCAATCTACAAACGATAATATTTCTATTCGCGATGCATCAATTGAAAATGGAGCTCGATTAGCTGCACGATTACTCAAGCGCTTCAACTTCGGTACTGATCGACTTCGTAAACATCAAGATTGGAGCGGAAAAGTTTGCCCACATGACATTCTTGGTCGATACGGTTGGGCTAATTTCGTCAATTTGGTTCAACAAAAGATGAATTCAGGCGACTACTGAGTGACGCAAAGCTAATAAAATAATTTACGTACTATGAAATGAACGTGAAAGTTATTTTTTCTAACTGCTGATTTTATAAGAGTTTGAAAGCATAGATTTCAGATTTCAATCCTATATAGACTCATCGCAATAACACTTTCTGATTAATCATACACTAGACGATGGCACCCTTCAATACGGGCTTTTCGATTGTATGAAAGACTGTTGCTGAGAAGATTCAAGTCTAATTAAAATTAACAAGAAGATTTTTGTAAATTAGATTGTTCGGCCATTGACATCTATCAAATATACACAGAATGTTAAGTATAAACATGGTAAAATTAATTTCCTAAATTCACTAAATAATAGAATAAATCCAACTATACTGTTTATTATTTTACCATTCGCTAACAACTTATAAGAATAAAAACTGAATCACTTTTTTTATCTAGCAGAAAAACCTTTCACATGTTTCCAGCGAAAGACATTTCTAATATCATTTAAATTATTTATTTGATACATAATGTGATTAAAGATATAGTGCCGATAGTTGAAATTTGTTTTTTGAAAGCTTCACAACACAGAATTTCGTTATTCTTATATTTTTATTGCAGTAACGACTTTATCTCTTAGCTTTTGAACTAAGATATAGTTCTTGTTGAGAGTGAAAACGGATAGATATTTTATTTGTGATTTATAAATTAAGAATCTTGAGAATACTCATTCAATTTTGTATGCTTATCATGGCAAAAAAACGTGTGAATCTAGAATATTCCTTATTTTTCATTTGGTCGGGATCGTATGACGACGATAGAAAAAACACCAGTCCTTCGTCGCGATAATTAATTTTACAATTATAATTTTGAATCAAACTTTTTCTAGTTATTCTTTCCAGAACCCAGCCAGTGAGAAGCAGAGACAATGATTATTGATGCCTATTAGGAGAACGGTGGATGATTAACATGTTTCCATATGAATGAGAAATAATTGTACTATGGGGTAATATTAGTAACATTTCGGTGACTATATCAATTGGCGTGGAACAATTCATACCACAGAAGGGAGTAGGTGACTGCCACATTCAGGCCTCTAAAAGGACTGCACTGCTAATGTTTCTACAGGATTTTAGTGCGCAACTTTAATAGATGACAAGATGTATTTCATGAGTTGACGATGATCGAGAAAAAATTGGGCACAAAATCAAGTTTTTGCGCGTTTGATATAAAGAGGAAGTAAAAGAAACGTGTGACCAATGTAAACATCAAACATAAACATATTTAACCATCTGTTATCACCTGTAATCAATATGTCAGTCATTTGTATTCATTGATATTATATGATATACCAATTCTTATTTAATTTTCATGTTTTCGTACGGATAAACATTAAAAAAAAAAGAAAAAATTATCACTGTATTCAAATCTAACTATACTCAATTAAAATTCATACAGTATTACTTGTCAAATTCATGTATAATTTATCGTTTGAACCTGCTATTGCGAATCAATCTAACAAAATTAAAAAATATGTTTGTTTAAATCTGGAAATTGTTTCGATTCGTTTTATTTTATTTTTGCCATACATTGATATAGAGAGGTATGATAGAGATATTCATTTAAAGAAAATTTTCTAATCTCTCATCCGAAACATTAAACTCAAAATGTAATTGCAACCAGTGTCTATCCTTAGAATAAAACACAATTCAGCCTATTTTGAGTTTTGTTTTTATAAATGAAGATTTTGCTTGCTCTAGAGATAGTCGTAGATGAATCGATCTGAATAATACATCATCTTCGTTCGATTACTATTGAGTTTAATATTCAAAATGATTGAGTCGCCATTTTTTCCATGTAGCCTAAAAATGAGCGTCTACTTCACATCTTCGATAATACAACAAAGAAAGCGAAAGTGTATCCAAGCGAGTAGCGTCGCCAGTGCGTTTATTGGCTTTTTACGTAAGTCGAAATTTGGAAAGTTAGATACTGATAAGATATTATTTATTGAGTCAATGTACCTAGGTAATTAGGAAGTTGAGATATCATGAATATGAAACGAAATCATATATTGGAGTAATAAATAAATGTGGAAATATTGGATTCGCATCCGATTATTATGTGTACTGCTAAAACTGAGACGATTTATATATGTTTTGAATAAGCCTGAGAAAAAAGTTTTTCTTTGAAAAAAGCCCTGTACCCTCCCCAGCCGCCCCTCAGGGATGGTCTGGTCAATAATGGCAATTTTTTCGATAACTCAGCCATTTGTTGACGGATCCTTCTCATCTTCGAACTCGACCGAGATATTGATGAGATCATTTTGTATACAAAATTTCAAGAGAATTGGATGAGGCTTTCAAGAATTATCGTGTTAACGGCCGGACACACTGACCGAATGTAGTCTACTCATTTTTTGAGTATACAAATAAGTATTTAAGGGTAAAGTACACTTCCTTCGTATCTACTATATAAAGTCCTTCATTAACTGCATTTTTCTATACATTCATCCTACAAACAATCTTTGCTTTGGTCATATGGTGTATTCTACTCACAGTAGTTTTCAATGCTTTCATGATCCAAGCACGCAAGGATTCGAAAAAGATGAAAGCAGTTCGATCTTGATACTTCGATCTCACGTTTTAACCACTTTTCTATGATTTTCCGTTCTCGAGATCAACGAATCACAAAATGGCAATTCGTGATGCGTACGTCGAGAAAGTAAAAGAAACTCGCGACGGACTACATAAATATTTTTGCTTCACATCGTATTAAAACGTTTTCTCAAAGGGTCGCTATACAGTGCTTCGCTCCGTAAATAGAAAGAAAAAAGAAAATTCGCGGCGTTCTACAGAAATAGTTCTGCTTCGTATCGCATTAAAAACTCGCGACGGACTACAGAGATGCTTCTGCTGCGCATCCCATTAATGAATCAAGCGCAAAACAAAATTAGATTTAAAATAGCTTAAACTAGAATAAGCTGTATAACATATAATAATAAAATAAAAAATTGATTGAAAGTTAATTATATTCAAAAGAAAGTAAAGTAAATTAAGATTAAATTTATTAAATTAAAATTAAATAAAAATGGTAAAAAATTGACTAAATTTGAGTTAAATTTAATGAATTAAATTAAATAGCGCGCCCCTCAAATTCAACAAGTGAGATAAAGTATGTGCAGATACAGTTATATCATCTGATTTCGTCGGATCCGGTAACTTCGCATTTTCGGATATCATTAGATCCTATTGTCGACAGCCAACATAATCCGACGGCGGAAAGCGTCGGAAATTAATGAATAATGATGGTTTCCGATAATTGGATCCACCTGGCTGCCAACAGTTGGAAAGCACCGGATTCTAGACGAGTCCCATCGAATCCTGTTGGTGACATTTGACCTGCGTATAAATTTTTAATTTGATGCTATTTTTAAAGATAATTCTAGTCAGGAAATTACTATTCCCAAAAGATTATTAGTATCCTATTTAATTTGTGCTGAAAGCATGAAAAAAATAATGAGATAGAGACGTGCAAAAATGATAATCATAGACGTAAACGAGTGGAAACAGTCAATTAAAATCTTAGTGCTCATTGAACGTAGAGCATTCGAAAGCAAAAAATGAACGCTACTGCGATTCTATACAGCAACAATGCATGGGTCAGTTGAAGAAAATTTTATTTTTTTTAATAACTAAATCTTGATGAATTTCATGTTTAGTTGATGACATCAACTGGATTAGTCTATCTGATGACACCTGCGTTAGCATGTTTTTATGGTGGTTTAGTTGAAAACAAAAATTTTCTTAATCAACTATTTCTCTCCATTGTCTGTATGGCAATCATACCTGTGCAATGGTGTCTGTTTGGTTATTCATTCGCTTTTGGTCCTGGAAATTCAGTATTTGGCTCATTTCAATATGCTTTACTTAGTCCAATGGCTATGGTTAATAGCAATGGTGAAAATATTGATAAAAGCAATGTAGCGTCGGTTACATCATTGGCATTCGTAGCTTTCCAATGTTCGTTTGCAACGATAACACCGGCATTAATCAGCGGTGCAGTTGTTGGACGAATGAAAATAATTCCATATATGATTTTCATTTTTCTTTGGACAACAGTATGCTATGCTCCTTTAGCAAGATGGATTGTTTTCAATGGAGGCTGGCTTAATAAAATGGGTGTTATGGATTTTTCTGGTGGCCTTATAGTTCATTTGTCGAGCGGAATATCAGGATTAGTTGCTGCTATTATACTCGGTTCAAGATTTCAGTTCGATCCTGATGCAGCAAACATTGGTCAAACTAATCTTGCATTTACGATATTAGGCACTGGCTTACTTTGGGTAGGTTGGATGGGATTTACTGGAGGCGCAGCATTCGCGGCTGATGGTACGTAATTAAGCACTGCTGTTTATTCTTGGAAACTCGGAGGAAATAATTACTTTGAGTCTTCCATTGAAAATTGTTCATTGATATCTATTCAATTGTTCGACAAATATAGCTTTTTTCTTTCACAGGTATTGCTGCATTAGCTATAGTGAATACCAATATAGGTGCTGCATCAAGTATGACTACTTGGAGCATTCTTGATATTATTAACGGTAAATTGAGAGGACACAATAGTGGTTTTGTTTCAATCCCGGGACTTTGTTCAGCTTCGATTGTTGGTTTAGTCGTAGTAACGCCTGCAGCAGGTTTTATACAGCCATGTTATGCATTGGCAATGGGTTTCATTGGTGGTGTGATCGTTTATTCATTTCTTGCTTGTAAAAGACGTTTTTTTCATATTGATGATACCCTCGATGTGTTTAGTTGTCATGGTTTAGGTGGTATGGTAGGAACATGTCTCACTGGATTATTTTGTCAGAAAGATGTGAACGAACAAGGAAATAATGGCGCTTTGTATGGTAATCCTGCTCAATTTTTGCATCAACTAATTGGAATCTTGGTAACTGGCATTTATGCAGGTGTATGCACAGCAATTATCCTACTATCACTGCATTTCACCATTGGTATTCGTATACATCAAGTAGATCAAGCTCGTGGTCTAGATAACATAGCACATGGAGTAATCGAACAGCGCCCCTCGCAAGATATAAAAATGCCAAGTATGCAAAAAAGAAGACAACCGTCGAATGTGATTGCAACAATAAATATTGAACATGAATAGAATAAATTTCTTATTTCTTTATCTTATTGTTTCAAACTGTAAAAAATCATTAATAATTTCAATTATACTATCTTCTTGCTTTTTTTGAAAAATGAAAATATTATCTGGAAGATACAAAAAACAAAAGAATTTGTATGAAACATATCGAACTAAGAAAAAAGCGCTCATCATCGGATTGAACCTGTATTTAAATTCGATTGATGATGTTGCTCCATTTTTTTCATCATACATTTTTCGTTGGTTACGAGTGAAATTGCCAGTCTTGATGATGAAGCATATCGAGCTGTAGGACGAATGTCTAAAACCGAAGAAAGTTATTTAAAAAATAACAATGAATATTAAATATCGATAATCTTTTTTTCAAAACTATAATAATAATAGGCTGAAAAAGTATTGAATTGAAAGAAAATCGTAATGATCGAAGATTCTTTTTATTTATTAGAAACTGACCGCCATCCGAGGGCGAAACTTACTGATAGGGTCCTGTCAGAATCCTTATAATTAGATTTCGATAGAAAGTTGTTGGATCTTGGAAAATGTCAGAATGCCTGAATTCAGACAGGAGTTGCGGACATTCCGACAACTTAATGTTTTCTTGTATAATGGATTATCAACATAAACAAATGATTCTTCCATTTCAAGTATTAATTCCAATTCACGATTACAGTCATATTTTTATTGATCTTTTAATCATTCCAAGCACTAAACGCATTTGATTTAATAAATTTGAACGCATATGAAATACTTTATTTATAATGTTATCCAAGCCGAGCATTACGGTGACCAGAAATGATCATAATAACCTTCATCGGATGTATTACCATCCGTTAGAAGGTGAAATTCTCGATTCAAACGACTTGTTATTGACCAGAGAATGAATCAAAACTTGTTTAAGTCTTTTATAAAATGTACTAACCTGTAGAGTAGTGGCGTAACCAGGATAGGGTATGGTTGGGCTCAGCCCAACCACCGGTCGTTTTTAGAAGATCTTTTTTTTGTAATGTTAGGCAATAAAAAACTGCACGATTGCATTCCCTCTGATCTCTTTTTTAGTTGATACTAAAGCTTTTTGCATTGCAAATGAAAACTAATTTTTCTTCATTATGCAACGAAATTTAAGTTCTGAAGCAGATGTTGAAAAGTTAAATAAGTTAAACAGTAAGAATCTCTCTGCTGAACTATTTTCGAAGCAGAGAATAATTTAGAAAACCACTTTTAAATGTACATAAAAACGGACAACAATTCAGAAAAAGTAGGCGTGCTTGTATGACAATCGGGGATCCTAATTGTGAGCTGAAAACGGCCATTTTTCGCCTCTCCTTGTGCGTTTAAAAGCGTTTTCAGTCAAAACACGTGAAAATGCATTGCAAAACGACAAAAAGTGATGATTTTTTTCGTACTTCAGAACACGATTTATGATCTCCTCATAGATAACGACTCTGAAAAAAACGACCACTTCTTCTCTTTTTCTAGTGCACTTACTGTACATGTATTTACAAGTTTTTTTTGACTGAAAACGCGTTTAAACGCACAGGAAGAGCGAAGAATGGTCACTTTTCGCTTAAAAACCCCCGCACATAATACAATGTCGAATACTTGTAAAGTGATTTACTCGTTTTCGAGGTAGAAAACGATTTCAACACTATTTTCGAAAAGCTAATGGAATTTTGCTGGCTTCCACGAAAATAGTAAATTCTTTTACAGTAAAACCTTGTGAATCATAATTTGTGATTCTTTATTTCCGTTTAATAAGCAAACGAAACATCATTAAAAAAACGTTTTTCAAGTTGAATACATTATTGTATTCTTATTCTATGAAAAGAAAGTCATGCATTATCAAACATAACTTTTTGGGAAAACGCTAGGGCTCAGCCCAACCACCCGATAAATCCTGGTTACGCCACTACTGTATAGACACGCAAGATCTATATTCTTACGATGTCGCTACTCGATGAAACCAGTAATACCACATGGAGATTTCACTTTTGTTTTGAATAAACTTGAGATAATTTCTATCTGCTCATCTTTAAAGGAACCAAAAGCAGCAAATTGTAAAATCATTATCAACATCTAAGGTTAATCTTATTAGTACATCATGTCATTTTGAATAAAAACTAAAATAATTACTATTACATTTTCCATCGAAACAAGTCGATCAAAACAAGTATTCAAATATATTCTTTCTAACAGATATCGACATGCCAAAGGATATATTTACATTCAAATATAACATGTTATTTCTTTTCTTCCGTAAAAATTGAGAATACATTAATCAAATTAACCCGATACTGTCACATGATATTCTCCGTCGGCACTCTCTTTATGAATATCTCATTCAAACGAGATGTCGCTGAACAAAGTCCATTTGATAATGATTGGTATACTAATCCCCAAACTTTCTACTATTAGATAACATAATTTATTAAATTCACTACAACATGTGCCGTATATAGTTATGTTTCCCAATGTGGTTCGTGTAAGTAAAGTTTTTTTTTTTATTTTTGTTCATTTTCTGTTAGATTTTTCTAACATTCTAAAATGTCAAACGCTTGCAACTGAAAATACATGTCAATTGTTTTGTATGGCCAATTTCTCCGTTTCCATTTAAATTCATGTCGTCTTAGATAGATATTTACAGATCGATCTTTTCTCTTCATGTGATAAAGTATTGAGTTCAAACTTAAGTAATCTACTCAGTTGATTGTCACCTCTGATAGGTACGAGAAAGAAAATAGCAATTAATTTTAATTTTTAACACAATTGAATCAAACATTTTAAGTTTTTTCTCTGTACATGTTTTATACATATAATATAGAAAAATAAAACATGGAATGTATACTTATATCTGAATGGACGAGTTTAATTTTAAGGCATTGTGCAATCTGGAGAGTATAGAGTGTTTTCGTATCCAATTTTCAATTATTTTCTTTCAAGTCATTAACGCCATTGAACCCAAAGACCAGAGATGATCAGTTTCTTATTCACACATATAATTGTAATTGTATATAGTAAGAAAATAAGTATGTCATAAGCAGATTACTCATTGTTGAGTGTCTAATCAGAAATAATGCACAATATGTAAATAAAACAAAGTTTTGTTTCTGATGATCTAAATTTTTCCCTCTACTGAAAGGAGGGTATTACGAAAAACGAATTAAATGCGTTCGCTCGTCCAATAGGAAAGCAGATGCATAAAATTAACTAACCTCAAGCAATATCCTGCCGGGATAGGTTTGACCGAAGGTAATCGGGGTCGGGGAACTGTAATCTGGCGTGAGATTTTCAGAGTTTATGATCCTCAACTTTTTAGTGAAAAAAAAGATTTTCGAGAAAATATTTTTCCTTGTAACGTGTGATCAGATGCTGTCGGGCTCGAGGGAGTCGAATCGGAGATCAGATTTTTGAAGTTTCGCTTTCTACCTTTTTTAGGGAGAGAAAGAGAGTTTTTTTCGGAAAAAATGACTTTGTTTAAAGTTTGACCGAAAGTTTTTGACGCGGAGTCACTCGAGTTTAAGTGTAGTTTTTCAAAAACATTTTGTCATCGTGTTGATAAACAAAGAGGGTTGCACAAAGGTCTATTGTTCAGAATGAACATGTAAGCTTTTTGAAAAAGTAAAACTAAGTGACCAGCAACTGACGAGTGACTGGTATTTCGAAAGCATTTAGGAGTAGCACAACGACGTTATTAGTGGTTATGATCCTAAACAAATAAATCAAGTTGACTCAAATAAGGTAGTGACTGTCGCTGGATCGAATATTAAATGCTTAATAATCTTTCATAGTTCAAGCAAGTTTATAATGCATTAGGAATTGTTTAGATCATTGTATTTTCGTGATAGGGTATCATTCGATGATGTTGATAGTGGTATATATATATCGTATGCTTATATTGGATTTTATTACGAACCGGCTATAGGCATCTTGCGGTGAAGTTGATTATTAATTTGGCAACGGTTATTCGTGATTGGCGCCCCAGAGGGTCGCCGANTGATATGTCAACTTTTATTGTAGCACGAAGAATTCTAGATTAGCGCATCTACGAACGTTCGCAAACTGTGCAAGTACTCAGGAATCTTGTCTTATTCTTCTCAAAATTGTGAGTAATTTTTTTATATGTAGATGAAACTAAATTAAATTAGTTGTGATTATAAGACTACAGGCCTTGCAGAATTATTGAATAGTTACACGTTGTCTCCATCAGAAAAGTTGAAACAATATTCGAAACTAGAAGATATCTTGAAGTTCTTCCGAAGATAGGTCGCGCAATAATTGAAATTTATATTTGTCGTAATTATCTGAATAAGTTTAGTTTTTCCTGATTGCGAGTGGATTTGATTCAAAAGATGTAAATCTTAGATTTATCTATCTGTTAACGTGCAACAGGGAATGAATATATACATTCTAGACGGAAAACGCGCCGAAGCAAAATGAGCCCAGATGGATTTGAGCAAAAATGAGGATAAAGCTAACTGAAATCAAGTTAGAAAAAGTCAGTTTGATTTGATCTATGATTTACTAGTGCAGATTCATGTTAAATATCTAGTTCACAGACCAATTTGAGTTGTAACTTTACTAAAATGGAGTATTTCGACATAGCTCTCATGAACGAGTCTTTTTTTTTCACTCTGTTATCAAGCTGATCGAAAGTTTTTGGGAGTATATCTTGAGCTGTAGCAGTAGATCGGATGCACTTAAATTCACTATCGTCATAAAGTATTAGTATGTAGTAATTAAATCTTGAGGGTGTGGATGTCGGTGATGGATACTATGGAGGAGTGCTCAAATATGGGTGCGAGTGAAGGGTATATATGTATTGATATGTCGCATACATCGAAAAGTTAAACTAAAACTAAATCTAGGAATAGATTTAGTTTTAGTTTAACTTTTTCTTTTTCTCCATTTATATTCGAACTCGAATTAGACAGCTACTCCCTCAAATGGGAGATAATGAATTAAAAAGACTTTCAAGGGTCTTTCTCCGTTGATTTCGAGGAAGGAGT